TGCCAGAGAGAGAGAGAGAGAGAGAACACAAGCAGGGAAGCGGCAGGCAGAGAGAGAAGCAGGCTCCCCACTGAGCAAGGAGACTGATGCGGGACTCGATCCCAGGACCCTGGGATCATGACCTGAGCTGAAGGCAGACACCCAACTGACTGAGCCACCCAGGCGTCCCTACTTGACATCATTTTAAAGAGGCCCTCTTTTTTTGAATTGACTTAGTCTCCATCATTAAATAATTCATGTTGATTTAGAAAGCTTTGTTTCTAATGGGAGCCACAACACAGCAGAGTTAATATTAGAACAGGCCAGGAAGATGAAGGAAATGGGAGGAAGACTGGGAAAACTCCCTTCCTAATAATTAACCCGCCATCCACGCCCCCCCCCCCCGCCCGGCCCCCGCCTACTTCCAATCCGCCGCAGTCTGCTCTAGTTTGTCTGTTTCCCAGCCGTCATTATCATCCGACATCCTCCGGACCCACACATAGTGCTTGTTTCATCTGTTTACTACTGATTGACTGGCTCACTCTCTGCTAGAACACAGGCTCACCAGGGCAGGGCTGGTTTTCCCTTTCACTGACCGATGAACCTTACTTGCCTAGCTCAGTGCTTGGCACCTAGTAGCTGTTCAGGAAATATTTCTTGATCAAAACCTCGGCTTCCGTTTCCTCCCTGCTCTGGGTCCTCCAACTCCTTTGCTTCTCAAATTTTCAGGCACTTAGCAAGATCAAATGCAGTATTGTCCTTACGGCTCTAGCCCTGGAGCAGTAGAGATATTTGTCAACCCTGGGGTCCCTGCAGGTGCGAGAAGGACACGGTCTGCACGTGTGTGCGTATAGATGTAACTTTAAAGTGTATGGCATGTTGGGGGCGGTGTTAGTTTGGTGCTCACAACAGTTCTGGGAGATTTGTATTTTTATTATCCTCATTTTATAGATGAGGAATGAGAAAATCCATTCATTCACTCACTCATCCATTCATGTGTTTACAAAACCCCAGATAGTATTGAGGACCTACTCTATACTAAGTGCTGGTTAAAGAGAGTTGAACCAGAGACCCCGGGGGCGGGGGGGAGCACTGAGGACCTTGCTCAAGGTCACACAGTGAGTGACCTGCATGTAGGGGTTCTGCAGCCAGCCCTTGACTCTTCCTGCTACACCCCAGCTCTGCTCATGTACCCGCAGGTCCTGTGATGTCTTGCTAAGCTGAGTCCCCGCAGACATAGCTCGGAATGCATAGAAGCTGCAGACAGAGGGAGGACTCTGGGGTTAAAATGTACAGCCAAGTACAGAATCCCAGGGCTGGGCAGGACGGTGAGAGGTCCCCTCTCCAGACTCAAAGTAGGATGCTGCACAAAACACTCCGTTACCTTTTGTGCCTCAGTACCAAGGGGATTCTGTTCCAGTGGGGGATGGGCCATCTTCCTCAACTATTCGGTGCCGCAAGTTGGACTCCTTATTGTAGAAGTCGCGGTGTTTTGGGAGCCCGACAGTTCTTAGTGACCATCTTATTTATCACCACCTTCATGTTACAGATGAGGAAACTGAGACCCAGAGAGGTGGAGTAGCAGGGCCAAGATCACACAGCTGGTTAATGGCAGGATCTTGACTGTTGCCTCCAAGTCTGCTGCTCTGGGATACCATGATTCTTGGGATATTCTGCAGGTGGAAAGATGCCTGTGTTGACCTGGCCCGAGTCAAGGCATGGTCCTCTGTGCCACAGAGGGAATGCAGCCTGGCCGTTAACCTGGACCGGGGCCCTGGAGTCTTTGCCTGGCTCTGACCCTTCCCCTTCTTGCTCTCCTGGTCCCCTAGCTTCCTCCCTCTGCCTCCCAGGGTAGCAAATGCTCAACTCCCAGTTGCTCCTTGCCTGAGTGCATCTGAGAGCTGGAAATACTAGGCTAATTAATGTGTCTGTGACTCTAGGCTTGGCTGCTGGGGCTGGGTCCCCATGCCCTCCCTGGAGCACCACGGGATCTGTGAGCTGGCCCTCTGGCTTATCCAAGCAGGCTGCTGGCAGATGCATATTTTAACAATGCACATCTGTTGGCTATATAATCTCTCATATTTGCCCTCCTCACTTGGTGCTTTGATGAAAGACCCCCAGGGGTCTCCCTCTGTTCCAGCCAAAGTGTTTGCTTTGCAATTTTGCTGGAATACCATCTAATTCTTCTCTCACATCTTCCGCAGGTTCTAATCAGGCTCTTACTTTATTTAATTAAAAATCTATCTCAGGCAAATACAGACTAAATTAGGAAGCTCTCTCATTCCTGGAACACAGGGAAGGCAGCCCCTCCCTTGGGGAACTGGCTGGGACATTTTCCCGGGCTGAGATGTCACTGCAAAGCAGATGGGGTCTTGGTTGGGAAGCTGGCTGGCCAGGCTAGAAACACCCCTCTTCCCTCTGCTGCTCTGTCTGTTCAGCATGGTGAGCAGACCAGAGCTCCCCTTCCAGAAGGCTGGGTCAGCTTCTGCACGCAGGGCCTCTCTCCAGGGCAGTAGGTGGGGCTGTACACCGCAAAGAAACTCAGTCGGGCTGGGCGCCTCAGGCAGAGGCCTGCCAGACCCACCAAGGGGGAGTGGGGGGAGAGACCTGCTGCACCAGCTCAGGGGTGGGACCTAGGGTGATCAGGAGGGGCTGGAGGCAGAGCCTGGGACAGCTGTTTCTTGCGTCAGGTTAGTTTGTCAGGAGGAGTGGTGTCTGTGGAGACTTCAGGAAAGGCTGCTGGACATATGCCTGCTCAGGCCCCTTTTTTCCAGCTTTCGGGAATCCAGCAGGCTAGCCTGCCGGGGTCACCTGGAAACTCCTCCTTCCCCCGTCTTCAACTGCCTTCCAGACTCGTGTAATGCCTTTTCCCCACACAAACCGGCTCTGTGCCAGGTCTGGCCCCAGGAGAGGGAGATGGGTGTGTGTGTGTGGGGGAGGCTTTTAGATGTGACCTAAGAAGGAACCCAGTCTGTTCAGATGAGACTCTGCGGCCCCGCTCTCAGCAGCCCAGCCCTTAAGCAACGAGACAAAGGAGATTGTGCTGGTATTTAGGGACGCAGACAGCACTGGTTTGGAGTTGGAAAATCTGGGGTCTATTTTGAGTGGTAATTAAACCATGAGGGGCTTTGCTCTCCAAGTCTCAATTTCCTCATCTGTACAACATTTGGAGTAATTTGAGCTTGGATATGTCCCTGAGAGAAGGGAGGAGGCAGCCTGTGAATGGTTGGGTGCCACCGGGCAAAGCTCTGACAGCAGGACGAGAACTTGAGGACGAGCTGCGTCTCCGTCTAGTCTAGGTCCTGTGTGAAGTCAGGAGTGGGCAGTGCGTGGTTCCTCCTCAACTTAGCATCCTTTGGTACCCTCTAGAAGGGGAGCAAGGCTGCAGAAGGCAGATTATTTTGAGGACGGGGAACAGAATCTTCTCTGGAGATGCCCGAAAGTCTTCTGGCATTGAACAATCAGAAAACATATCAGACACTAAATCCTCCTGCACTTCTCCACACCTCCACACCACACTGTACCCCCATCCCCACTTTAGCCACCACCTCGGGAGAGATGAAGATGTCTACCTCTTCCTTTCATATCCCTGATCACTCTTCTGCAGGCCCTTCTGGACCAAGCTGTCCCAGCTTATTTGCCCTGCCGGACCCGGTTTCTTTCTCTTTCCTTTATCACAGGCTAGAGGAGACGCTGGGGTGGAGGGATGTTCTGGGGTCAGCCCTGAGCTTTGCCTCCTGTCTCAAGAAGCCAAGCCCCGAGCTTGGTAAGTGGTCCTCCGGGGCTGGCTGCCGTGCTTGGGATAATGTGCCCTGCGTGTTGCCGTGTTGATCTGAAGTTAACCTGACACGCTCTTAAATATTCCATCGGGGAGCAGCCACGCGCCTTATCCTCCAGGTGAGGAGGCAGCACCCCAGCTGCTGACCCTGTGGTCGGAGCCTCACAGCAGCTGCTAGGAGGCGGGCTCCCCCCTCCGCTGCCTGGGCCCCGTCCCACCCGGGGCTGGCGGAGCCTCACCGAGGAGGCAGCGCGGTGGTGCCAGAGCCCTGGCCGGGAGACCACTCCCGCCCCACCCCCGGGGCCAGGCCCTTGGCGTCTCTGAGCCTCGGTTTCTCATCCGGGGCAACAATCCCTGTCCCACTGTCTTGTGTCAGAACGGCGGAAGTAACGTAAGTGGAAGTGCTTTGAGAGGGGCGGTCAAGTGCACGCACATGTCTGCCATTATGCCTTGTGTGTGCGGCTCCGTTCTCAGGGGCTTGGGCCTCAGTAGCCGCTGGCTGGAGGAGGGAGTTGACAGGGCCTGACCTCAAAATCAGAAGGAGGACGTTTAAGAGGTGGCCAGGCTCACTCCCTTGTCTTCAGGCAGGTCTGCCTGTGAAGGAGTAGGGACCTCTCAGGCAGGGTGTCCCAGGGGCACTGGGCTCCGGGGAAGCCAAGAGGAAGAAAGGCCAAGGCTGGCAAAGGTCTGATTTGGCATAAGGGCCCAAAATGAATTTTCCTCGGGATGATTTAGGCAGTCAGTTCTCCAGCTGAGAGCTAGGATTCCCAGGGAGTGGCGGAGGGTGGGGAAGGAACAGGTGCAGCGGTGGTCCCTAGGGATGCTGAAATCATGCTCTGTTAGCGCTTAGTGGGAGAAAGCACAGGCTCAAGGATGTGTCGTATTCTTCTCTGTATCTCCATTGCCTAGCACACGGCCTGACACCATCATGTGTGCAGAATATGCTTCCTGATTGAATAAATAAGCATTCAGGAGCCCCTTTTAGCCCCTTAAGCTGGAGTCAAACCCCCTGCGGTTAGACAGGGTCACAGGTCGGTTAGCAGTGGCCTTCTGATTTCCAGGGTGAGAACTTTCACTTTCCCCTTTTTGGGGGGGATGGTGGGTCCTGACCCAGTGGGGCAGCAGCGGCCAGAGCCCAGTGTGATAACCACTTTGGGCTTTGCCCAGCAGAGAGGCCCTTCTGGAAGTGAGTGCATGGTGCTTCCCGGAGCATCCTCGCGCCCCACGTGTCAACGGCTCTTACCCAGGACGGTGAGGCGTGCGGGGCGAGACCTTATGGCGGCTTGGATGGCCTGGCATTCGTACACGGCGTCATCTTGCAGCTCTGCCCGCAGGATCTTCAGGTGATGCTCTCCTGACAGGTGGTTCCCTACCACCAGGTACTGTGGGTAACCTGTGGAGACAATGCACATGTGGGGGGTGGGGTGGGGCCAAGGGTGGGGGAGGCATTCCTACCAAATAGGCACAGCGGTGGGACATGTGAGCAGGGGCTGGTCTTGGAGGCTGGGGGATAGGGGTGGGAGTGGGGGTGGCGTGACTGCTCAGGGCCTTGACTTTGGTGTGAGGAGCACAAAGTCGAGAGCTTTCCCTGGATATTGGGCAGTGTGTGTGTGTGTGTGTGTGTGTGTGTGTGTGTGTGTGTGTGTGTAGGTTTAGGAATATTGGAGACGCTATGATCAGAGAGAACAGAGAGAGCAGAGATGGAAATGCTAAGTGTGGGCAGACACAGCAGAGTTAGTACTCTGGTAAGCGGGGTGCTCAGCGCTGTGGTTTACCAAGCAGACATGCGTTTTGACAAGGAGACACACAGAGAGACGGAGAGACCCAGGCTGCGATTCTCAGCAGACAGAGTAAGAGAGAGAGAGAGGGAAGGAAACAGAAATCTCTGGAAAAGAATCAAGAATGACTTTGGGGGGAAAGTTTTGTTCAGGATGAGCAGGAAGTAGAAATCAAGGCCCACCCTACCAGTGGCTGGCATCCTCTGGCCACTTTGAACCATAAGGGGCCCTAGTCTGGTCACTTCTTCTCCCCACCTCAGACCCCAGGGCCTGATTAAGCACTTACGAGGCACTCAGGACACTTAGGAATGTGGGGCCCCTTATACTACTGGTGATGAATAATGGATAAATAAAAATTTGAGAATGATAAATCATTAATCAGCTGTCCTGCTGCTGTGTAGGGTGAATATAAATGCCAACGTAAATCGTGGCTGGCCAGGTTAGGCCGATCCCCTGTCCCGGGCCTTGGGCTCTAGACCTCCTTAGTATCTCCCAGAAGGATCTCCTTCCCATCACCCCCTTACCTGAGCTCTGTCTCCCCTCCTCCCACCCCCACCAGCCTCTTACAGGGGCCTTCCTCCCTGTTCTCTTCCCTTCTCTCTTCAGAGGCCCGCCCACCCTCCGGCAGCTACAAACCATTCCTCTGTCTAAAAGACCTTCGCCAGGACAGTGTGAGTTCTCAGAAATGTGCCATAGGAAGAGGGGGTTGGCCTATCTGGCCTTTTAAAGAGAAGACTAGGGCTTAAGCCGGTGAGAGAGAGAGAGAGACAGAAACAGAGAGACAGAGGGATGTGCAAGAGCTCTCCAAATATTTCCGTCTCTAAGTGCGGGTTAGATGTATTCAAGTAGTTCCCAAGGACAGCACTAGCACCAGTGGACAGAATTAATATTGGGAAATACTTTAGAATATTCTTAATATAATTTGAAAGGTCCGGCAAGGATCTAGGCTACCAGAGGTGGTAGTGAGGTCCCCATCAGTAGCTGCATTCAACCACAGGTTGGTGATCACCTGTCAGGGACACTGCAGAGTAGATTTCTATCCTAGATAGAATATTGGAGCTCTAAGGTCCCTCCCATCATAAGCTAAGGGTGGGGCAGAGGTGGGGCAGGCCTCTCCAAGGAGTGGGCTGTACAGGGGCCACTGACACCCATTCCTTGTCAGAGAGATAGCTGGGATCCTTCCCAGTATGTATTTTGTGGGCTTCCTATGTGGCTGAGCCATTCAGGCTCATGTCTTCATGGCTAGCATCGTCCCCATCATGCAATCAAATGGCCCCACCCGGCACAGCTGTTCTGGCCTGGCCAGAGATGCTCACAAGGCAGTTGGCTGTACCCCCGGGGGAGCACCATCTCCCCTCCTGCCTGCCCTTCCTGCCCTCTGCTGGGCTTTGGGAAGAAGCCCAGGTAAGTTAAGCTGGCTCTCCCCAGGGCCGGGACGAGGGGCTGGAAACGGGTTCCTGCCCAGCCCTCTCCCCGCTGCTGCCCTCAATGTAGCTGGCTCACGGCCCCCAGCACTTCCGGCCCAGCCTCTGAATCCTGCCGTCTTTGATTGGTCCCTGGTCTCCTGCAGGCATCTTGGCTGGAGCTTGTGTTTTTGTTATCTTGCAAGCTATCAGCAGCAGGATTTTGCTCTCATGAGCTGCTGAAAACATCAATGATGGGTTTGTTTGTATTTGCCTAATTAGGCAACAAGCTGCAAAGCTATCCCAAGGACTGGCAGGATCTTTGGAAAACACAGGCCCAGAGGCCTCGATTCTGAGCAAGTTCTAGCTCCTTCCATAGTATTATTATTCTCTTTTGCTATGTTCAGGGGAGGCAAAATTATTGAGAGTCTGGGTTCTACAGTCCAAGTGCCTGGGTTCAAATGCCCGGTCTATCACTTCCTAGCTCTGTTGTCTTGGGTAAGTTACTTTAACTTCTTCATGCTTCCGTCTCCTCATCAGCAAAATGGGGACACTATCGGTACCTCATAGAGTCATGGTGAAGAGTAAGTGGGATCATCCCTGTTAAGTGCGTGGCACACAGTAGAGTCTGTAAATGCTGGTTTAAAGAAAAATGACACTGAGATAGAATAGCCAAAAAGGTCCCTTTCTTTAGAGGCGAGAACATGCAGGGTGCCAGGCTTTTTGGGTGTTAGGAGCCAGGGTCCCACACACGGGGATTGGGTGTATGTTTAAATCCATTTCTTTCTCGACTGTGACTTTGTTTACCGGTCAAATAAAGGAGGGAATCCTTCTTTTTCTCCCTGTGGATCGTTGTAGATTTATGACATAATGTCTGAGAATCACTTGAGGTTCTTAGAAGAAGAATGTTCTATCAATATGAGGGCATGCATTTATAAATAATTTCCTTTGAAATGATTTTCAGCCTTGGTGACCAGAAAGACAGTTAGGTCTTCAGTGCGGGAGTGATTCCTGGTCCACTGAGCCGGGCAACGCAGAAAAGGATAAAATTAAAAAAACAGAAGAAGATAGAGCTGTGGCAGGTTGAAGTCTCACAATTCTGGGCCTCGGTTTCCCCACAGGGGGGCCTGTGCCGTTATCGAGTGCTCTGTGAATACTTGCTGAATGAAATCGAGATCTATTCCTCTCTCTTTCTTGTCAGGTAAGCAGACAGTATTTATTGAACATGTGAGTTTCTGTCATTATTGTCATGATGCTTTCTTGGGGATCGGTGATCAAATATAGAAAATACTTTACCAGGACTTTGAATTTATTGGCTATGCAAGGAGATGGACAACCTTCTCTGTATAAATGGAATCAAGTCAGAGAGCAAAGAGACCCCAGTTCATCAGAACCCTGTCACCCCTCAGTACTTAGTGGGACCCACTCCTGACCCCAGAGAGCCATTCATGGAATTGGGTGCCAGAAAGTCAGTTATCCATGTGCTGATGAATATCCGGGGTGACCTGGGGCTTCCTCTTGGCCACCAACCCCAAAAGACCCCAGTCCTTGACCGGAGGCTGCAAACCCTGCAGGAACCCAGAGCACCTCCTTCACTAGCAACGATGCTGGTCCAAGCTGAGAGCCACACAGAGCACGAGTGATTCTGGTTTGGGAAGGTGAAATCACTCCCCCAGTTTCTCTCGGGTAAGGAAGTTCAGAGCCCCTGAAATTGGCTGGTTCCCATAATACTTAAATTTTATGGCAGCACAGTATATTTTGGAGATATTATTGTGTATTTTATCCATGCTCAGCTAGGCTGTAGCACTCAAACCCGGTGATGCTATTGACCATGGCTATAATGTTTCAATATACATTTTTGGCAAGGCATAACTCACATTTTAAAATATTAATTTCCCAACCATCATGTTCCTGAGTGCACTTCGATTTTTATTTTCCTGCAGCTGTACACCACGAGAGAAGCAAAGCTACTTCTCAGTTGAATACATATTTTTTTTTTCTCCTCCTCCATCCTCAGCCATTCCCCAATGGCAGGGACACCCAGATCCCTTGTTCCGAATTTTCCAGGTTATGCTAAGCCTCACAAGCTGTCACATGCCTACCTCCCCAGGAGAGAATAATAATTGCTGATAGGTAAGTGACCAGGAGGATGATTCTATTCCCACCCCACCCCCCCGGCCCCCAGGGAGAGGATGGATCGGAAAGACATCTGTGTGAGCTTAAGGGTTGACATTCACAATGGTTAACAGATGATAGGGCATCACACCAACCGGAGGGAGCTCAGCTGCCAGGGACAGGAGCCTACCAGGACATCCTTGCTCAGTACCAGCCTGGGTGGGCTCAACAAGATTTGCACTTTAAACGCTCCTTTTCTTTTCTTCCCATCACACGGTAACCCCTAAAAGCAACTGGGTTCCTTTGTGAGTTTTCAATTTCTTTGGCTCCCTTTAATGGATGACAGCCCGGGAAGAACCAGGTGGTGACTTAAGTGGGGGATACATTTTGGACCAAGAAACAGGAACACGTTACTTCTAGGAATCTGACTCTACCTGAATTGTGTTTGACTTTCGAAGAGATCCTCCAGGGCCACACTGTTCGGGTTTGACCACCAGAATTGAGGGTTTACATATCATTCATTACTGGCAGTCGGAAGGGCTCTCAAAGTCCTACGGATCCTGGACCCAGAGCTTGCCTATCCTGACTCTGCTCGGGGGGCAGAGTGGGGTGGATGCACAGTGAAACCTGGAGATTTAATCTCCAAATGCCCATGAAGATGGGGTTCCCTAGGAGGGTGGCTGGGTCAGGCGGGTACAGGTTCCAGGCCTTCCCTGGGAGGTCTGGGGGTACTCACTTGAGAGGTCCCTGCCCACTCCCAGAGCCAAGCCGTCTTTGATCCACAGGACAAAGCCATCGTATTCAGGGATGGTACACAGCAGTGTCACGGGCTGGCCCGACACCACGGCCTGGTCCTGGGGTTGCTGGCTGAAGGAGTACACTTGGCCTAGGAAGGAGACAAGCACAGCGGTCAGTTACTTGCAGGTAGCAGTGCCTGGAGGCTTCTCCTCACGTTAAGCAGCAGAGGAGACACTGACCCAGGGGAGAAGCACCCCTCTCCCACCGCCCCCTGCATCTTACTTCCTGCCTGGGGCCCAGCAGCAGCTTCCTACGTGCCCCCAGCTTAAGTCCCAGCTCTTAGCAGCTGCTTGGCCGCTCAGCCGCCCCCGCTCCTCAGTCCTTACCACACCTCACACTGTGATCTGGCCTCCCGCCGTGCCCACCGCCCTTGGGACGAGCTTTGCCACTTTCCACTGGACTAACTCTTACTCGCTGCCGCTGGCTTGCGCCTCCTCCCACAACAGGGCAGAGGTGGTGCGGTTTGGTCAAAAACCGGAGAATCCAGGGAAAACATTATTGTTTCCGTGGTTCCCAGGCTGGTACAGCGTGGCACAGCGCGTGCAGGAGTCCCCACTTTGTCCCTTTCTTTCTGGTGGCAGCCCTGGCTCCGGCTTCTCTATCACCTGGGAGAAGGTCACGGGCATGACCCCAAGCTCTCCCACGCACCCCTGGGAGCAAGACAGCACCGAGCCATCCAAGCCAGCCAGCTCAGGAGTCATGACCTGGACACACCCACAGTGTGTACCACACACCAACCGCTGTTCTAAGATTTAAAAATATTAGCTCATTAACCTTCTCACCCTCATAACAACCTATGAGGTAGGTACGATTTTGACCCCCGTTTTCTGGAGGAGGAAATGGGGCCCAAGGAAGTGGCAAATACTAACAGGAGCTGGGCTTGGTCATGACCGAGCAAGTACTGAGTATGCATTAACTTTAGCTTTTTACAGTCGCCATAACGCTTGGACCTTACCAAGCCCAGTTTGCAGGGGCCTGGATGTTAACTAAAGTATCTAGGAAGTGTCTGGTGGCAGGACAAGGGATATAAATATAAGACTTTCCTGCTCTAAAGACTGTATTTTCACCTACTGAATTGCGCTGTGCCCAGATCCCTAAGCCGGTCCTGGAAGGAAAGCTGAGGAGGCGGGCTGATGTGATCCGTGTTCCCTGGGAGGCCACAGATGCATGGACAACATTGCCATTTACAGAGCCCCTGGCCCACAGTGAGCTGCATTTCACGTGCCCTCCCTTCTGTAACCTGTTTAATTACATGTCAGGGCAGAAATAGCCCAATGTTACAGCAGGGAAAATAGGATCAGAGAGGCAAAGTAACCTACTCAAGATCACACAGCTAATGAGTGGTGGAGCCAGGGTCTGACTGGGGGCGGTCCCTGTGACTTCCAAGCCTGCATTCTTTCCCAAGCCCTGCCCGGCAGATAGAAACACACAGCTCAGGAAAGGTGGACCCGGTGGGTGGGCTCCTGTCCCAGCCTCTTCTCCCCCACATGGGAGAGTTGGGGATGGCCACGGAGGTCCTGGACCCTAGCTATTGCCCATCGTGGGGACACAACGCCCCAGGCTTGGACCACTGGTAAGGCCATGCTCTCAGCAGCAGGTGGCCCGAAGGAGGGAGTGATGCACATATAAAGAAGCAGAGGGAAGCGGGGCCAGGGGGGTGGAGCCAGCGGTGGGGCTCCCCAAGGGCAGCCCTGGAGGTCCGCCTCAGAGAGCTTGTGGCAGGTGGGAAGGTAGCCGCAGTTGCAACCTATGAGATCTTGGCTGGGTCTCTGGGGAGTATCATTAAAAATCAAATTGGCCCTGAATTGTGGGAGTAACACTTTTTATTCTGATTTGAGCTTTACAAATTAGATTTCATAGGACATTTTAATCAGCTATGTGTGGTGGGTTTATTTATTTATTTTTCCTCTCAGTCTCTTCAAGTTCTCTGTTGTAATTAGACTGTTTCTGGCACCAAAACAAGAGAGAGAGAAGGGAAAGGAGAAGTGGGGGGGGGCCTGGAGAAAGAGCCCAAGGAAGGGGTGATGTGAGGAGGGTCAGGGAGACGGGAGGGAGCTGGAGAGGCCTGAAGAAGGGGCCAGGAAGGGAGAGAGAAGGAAGGAGAGGGAAAGGGGGGGAGGGGGAAGGCTGGAGGGGGGCACTCCTTTCTGAGGCTCTGTTCGCCCCGCTCAGTGATGATTTCACAGCTCCTTCTTATATCTCAAAATCTTTCTTGCAAGAAGGACAGTGTCAAGACAGCTGCCAGGGCTGCTAGAGATTGTGTTATCAGAGAGAATTACCAGGTTGTCAGCTGGGGGCGGAGGGACTGGAAGGAGAAGTCCCCAAGCAGGTGATGAGGACCCTGTGGGGGTCCCAGCCCCGGTCCCGCTTCCTCAGGTGAGGGTGAGGATAATAGACAGCTGGGGTACAGGGGGCACCCCGAGGGGGGGTGTGGGTGGCGGGGGTGGGGTGAGCCCTGGTTGGTACAGGGAAAGCCGAGACCGGCCATGCAGGAGGACGAGGAGGGCTCACTAGCTCACTTTGGATGCTGTCTCAGAGCCATGGATTGGGGCAGGCACGAGATTCCCCCCAGTGAGCCCTGAACACACAGAGAGCTGAAGGGACAGTGAAGAGTCGGGGAGGGCCTGGGTGGAGGACGGTCTGATCCATCCCCAGCAGGCTTCAGAGAGCTTTCTCGAACATCTCAGCAGGCTTCAGAGAGCTTTCGGCCCGCGCATTGGGTCTGTTCGGACCCCTTCAGCTTTTCTATGGAAAGAACGCCTCTTGGGATGGTGTGGGGGGCGTGGAGATAGATATACTGGACGGTCTCAACAAAACCACCCAAAGAACAGTATTTACCCATTATCTTTTGGGAGGGGATGATTGGTGCTCTGACAATTTTCTTTTTCAGTCTAATTTTAATTTCTGTGCATTAAATACATGCCACTAGAAATACTTTTTCTTTCAAATCAGTGAGATGCTTTTTCAAATAGAATCATAAGCTGAGCGTCACTATCTAGAGTAGATAAAAACCACAGTGCTGTGGGTGGAGGGGATGTGGAGGGATGGGGCGCACTGTCTTTTCACCCATAGGATGTACCTGGAGTCTTCTCTTCTGGGCTTCAAAGCCCCTAGGAACACAGTGTGCAACCATGGGTGTAGTTTCCTGGCCAAAAGATGCTCTTCACTCGTTCCCTCACAGCTGGTTTCTTTTCCCTGTCTTTCCTGCTCCCAGGAAGTGAACTGTGAGTGAGCCTGGGATCTTTTCTAGAACCTTCTGGGCACTATGGTAAACAGACAGGAACCTCCTTGAGAACATTTGTGATTCCACACACATTTATTGTGACCTGCTACGAGGCAGGCATTGCACTGCCTTGTGGGAAACAGATGGATACGACCTGGTCCTTCCCTCCAGGAGCGAACATTTGTGCACCCACCACACCCAGACAACTCTGCTCTGGGCGCAGAGTATGTACTGCACCCACTAGCCCACCTTGTGCCATCCATCCCAAGTTTTCTGCCTCAGTTTCCCATTGTGCCCACTGACATTCTCCTGCTGTGAAGCCCGGCAGTCAGTGTGACCTCCCTTTCCTGCTTCATTTTTAATCTGTCCCCGTCACCAAGTGTGGCCCAGCCCCTCCTCCGCAGCATCTCCCAGACTCACCCTTTCCTCTCCATTCCTACGGCTGCAACCCAAAGTCTGGGCCCTCCCCACCTCCGCCTGGGTTCTTTCGACAGCCTGTGAATGCTTTTAGGTCCGACCCTGAGTCTTCTTCCTAAACCACCACTTTCCTCGTGCACTCTCTCCCTTTCCAAGGGGTGCAAGGTCTAATGGCTCTCCACTACCCGCCGGAGAGCACCCGACAAGCGTCTCCAAAATCTGGCCTGCTTCCCTCCAGGTGTTCAGCAGCCATTCACTTATGTTACCTGTCCCATGTCATCGATGTCCCACCGTTCTGGAATCGCCCCTCTCTCCGGGGCTCCCTAACCAGCGCTGCCCTCACTGAATGCCAGATTCTCCTCCAGGAGAGCTTTGCCTGTGCCTCTAGGCACTTCCCATCACCAAGGGGGGGATCTTTTCTCTTCTCCTCTCCTCCTCACTTTTCCTCCTTCCCATCCCCCCTTAATTTCTTCAAAACTTTATTGAGGATTTACTGTATATCAGATGCCGAAAGAACCAAGGTAAGTGAGAAAGGGAAGGTAAACTGAGGGCAGGAACCACGGCCATTTTTTCATCTTGTATTCTCAGCACCTGGTCTAGTGCATAAGCACTGAATACACTTGACTTGTGGACCTTGCGGCCCGCCTACTCTAGTCTGCCATCTGAGACCTGTGGTCACGAGTGAGGTGAGAAATGAAGGGAAAGGGCCAGAGTCTCAAGAAGTCAGGCTTTGTACGGTAAAAACAACTCAGCTATTCATGGAAGACCTACTTTAACCAAGGCTTTGAATATAACTACAGTGCTAGTCAGGTATTACTACCCACGTTTCACAGAGGAGCTGAGGCTCCCAAATAGAGTGACATGCCCTAGGTGACCCAGTTGTAACTCAAGGTCACACAGTGGGCCCTGGTGCAATTCCAGGTCATGCAGTGGGCCCAGGTTCAATAAAGACCCAAATGTCTCTGGTTGCAAACCCTGTTTTCTTGCCACTTTCCATGTTGGTTATTGAATTAAGGGTCTAGATCTGGATTTTTATCCACAGATCAGGACTCCCCCCATTCAACCCCAGCAACCATTGCCCTCAGACCATCTAAAGAGAGGCAGAGGATCTTTGGAGTGAAAAGCGATTTCTTGGTTCTTCCCTAAGTTTACATGGCCTCCTGCCAGTTGCTGGTCGACAGCACTGCGTTGGGGTTCATGGTGGAGTCTAGTACTGGCCACCATGGGGGATAGGAAAGGAAGGAGGTGTAAAATTACTGGCACTTAGCATTATATAGTCATTATCTATATAACTATGTTATTATATAAATATATAGAACTAGCTATATATCACAAATAATACTTTTATTGTTGTAGAATTCATAATAGCTAACTTCAGTTGCGTGTAGCACATGTGTTAAGAGCTTTACGTGGGTTATTTGACAAATGCTCCTCTTCACAGTCCTGTG